CCATCAAAGTTCTTAGAACCTGAAATATTGTAGCAGATTAAAAAAAATAAAAGGGTATAAAAGTTGTGCTCATATAAAAGGCAGTTCTTAAGCAACTAAGCTAAAATTTGCAAGTAAGTCGTGCTTACTTCAGCTGATTTGCACATTCAAGTTAAAGTTTAAGTAATTACCAAAACATTTTCAGACACGTTATGACCAAATATGAACTTGCTGAATACTCACACTAAGATAAACCACAGCTAAACAGTCATAGAATAGTTTGGGTTGGAAAGGACCTTAAGATCATCCAGTTCCAACCCCCTGCCATGGGCAGGGACACCTCACACTAAACCATATCACTCAACGCTCTGTCCAACCTGGCCTTGAACACCACCAGGGATGGAGCATTCACAACTTACTTGGGCAACCCATTGCAGTGCCTCACCACCCTCACAGGAAAGAACTTCCTCCTTATATCCAGTCTAAACATCCCCTGTTTAAGTTTTAACCTGTTACCCCTTGTCCTATCACTGCAGTCCCTAATGAAGAGTCCCTCCACAGCATTCTTATAGCCCCCCTTCAGATACTGGAAGGCTGCTATGAGGTCTCCACGCAGCCTTCTCTTCTCCAGGCTGAACAGCCCCAACTTTCCCAGCCTATCTTCATACAGGAGGTGCTCCAGGCCCCTGATCATCCTCGTGGCCTCCTCTGGACTTGTTCCAACAGTTCCATGTCCTTTTTATGTTGATCACACCAGAACTGCACACAATACTCCAAGTGACCCCATTCATCTTACATCTATGCTAGTGTACATCTACAGTACTGAAAAATAAGAACTCTCAGTGAGGGCTGACCACATCCCATGCAATGAGGAGATGCCTGACCACATCACAGTCCCTTTATCATGTACCACGAAGTCTTCGCGTTTCTTTTCAGGTACCATTAATTCAGCTTCAGATAAAAGCATATTGAGGAATATTTGTGATAAACCTTTTAGATGAACAACTCTTTTACACGAATAACTATTCTTTATAAACAATTTACACATGGGCATGAAGGGCCCAAAAGTACACCCACTAATTCACTAACGCCACAGTGATGCTTCAACAAAACCACTTTAGCTCATAAAAATAATATTCTGGCAACCACAGTCCCAAATAACTACTTTCACTTTAACCTTGTGATTTCTTTAATCCATCTGAATCACTAACTCTACCTAAGTTACCGCAGAGAGCACAGCTAAAAGATGAACTTCTGAAAGTCACTATATTGCCAAAGAAAATTGAACAGAACTTCTCAGGTTTTCTCTTATCTAGCTTATGTAAGTAAAAAATCCTACCAGAATTGTCTATCAATTGTCTATCAATTCTGGTAGTTTGAATTGTCTATCAATCAAACACGGCAGCGTGTCAGAAACATCAGCACCTCAAATCCAGGGTAACTTCATCACCTGAACCACTACCAAATATCCTTTAAACGCAAACCTGCGCTGCTCATATGCAACTTTCATATTAACAGAGTTACTTGCAATTATGAACTTTAGGACTGTGCATTGAATTCACAGAACCATCAGCAATGAGAACTGTATTTGGAGGAGGATGGACAGGCAACTGGCATATTTAATTCAGAGTATCAAGCCAATAGCAACAGTGTACTGCATCTGAAAAGGAGACCCCAAGGCTCTGTGATCCCTGCTGCTTAGTGGCAATGCATGAGGTTATGTGTGCGTTTCACACTCAGACCGGACTCCTGTCCAGCTGAACTTGTACCAGGTGCACACAGAAGTTATCTGGCTTGTGTTTAAAGGTGGTTTAAGCATGGGCTAATTTTCCCTGGCAGGTCACAGAAAAGGCTCCGCCTTCACTGAGGCTGGCACTTGCTTACTTTGCAATAAGGCAGAGTTAAAAATTAAGTCACTAAAGTAAACCTCAAACATCCTTGTTCACCATTTCACTCCGTCCCTTGCAGCTGGGTGTCCAGGACTTGAGTGTCAGCAAAAACTGCTGTGGATCTTCTGCCACAAGAAATACCTGCGCAAGTTCTACAAGTGCAGATATTGTTAAGATTTGGGCCTTTTGGTCAAAGCATGACAGTCTCCTCTGCCTCACAACTACCCCAAGTTACCCCAGACGATCAGGGACAAGCATAACTGTGTAGGGGATTATGTATCTTTACAAACAAGCCTCAGGGAAAGCATGTGAGAGAACCCCAACCAGGATAATATAAAAACTCTCAGGCTGTGGGCACTGCAAACTGAATACACTCCTATAGGAGTGAGCAGTCGCCTCTATAAAACCAAGAGAGCAGCAGACTTGAAGGAGCCACGTTATTACCTTCCACTCTCCCTGGAGACCAAAGGAGTACAATTCCGTCTCCCAGTCTCTGCATTTTCTCCTGCAAAAAGCCTAAACGCTAAAGTTTATGAGGCCTGAATTTCAAAAGGAAAGCACACTTCACCTTAAACTCTATGCTCAACTGTCACTGGTATTTTATCAACTGTAAATCAACAGCTTTTGAGGGCTTTGCTCGGCATTTCGAAACAAAAACCACATATACCGGCTTAACCAAATGAGTGATAAAGCATGAAATATTACAAACCATTAAAAAAGGAAAAAGCATAATCCTGGCCTGCCCCACATTGTCTCCTCATAGAAATGTTACTTCTGAGATTACAGAAGGGCTTGTTTATTTAACAATTTCACCGATCTCCAACAATAGAGCATTCAATGGAAAATATTAACGTGGGACCTACAAACAGAGCCGCTATCTTATATGGATTGTAAATAGAGACTTGGGGTTATTTTACTTTGATATAAACAATAGCAGCTTAGCCAAAAGGAACAAAAAAATAACTGATGTAGGCAAATACTTAGATCATAAATACTGACAAGCAAAGTTCTCAGGTGTTAACCTTAGAGTCTCTCTTAGAGCCCTATTCTGATGTTATAGCTAACAAGACACTATAGGAATAAAATTAAGCAACTAAAAGTATAAAGTAAGAAAACACACGTGTATTGCATAGAGTAAATACAATGCTACACACATGCCTAACATGAACGACAAATTCTTTGTTAATTTTAGGGATCAGCTCCTTTCTGGTTGATAAGTGAAAGGAGATATTACACTTTACTGCTTTGGGGAGGAAAGAAAACATATAAATTAATTCTTCATTACGGTTTTAAATGGCAAATTATTTAAGGACTATTTGTATTCAAGCTAAGTAGGCAGAATCGTGATATTACATGCTTTTTATTCAAATGGAAAGAATTTACATTTCCCTACCATCTCATTAAAGCCAGATGATAAAGCAGCATTTTCCCTGCATGTTTGGGGTTTCTTTCTTTTAATTAAAATGTTCTTTTTGAATGCTTAAAATAATTCTGAGGTTTATAGTAAAGTATTTTCTAAAGCGTACACTGGCTCTTATTCAGGTCAATGCTGGTTACTGTCTAAACTCTCCAGAAGCCAAGTGGATGTTACAGGCTTTTGCTAAAGAGCATTGTTTTGCGAAGCTGGGAAGGGATATGACTCCCAACAAACACAGCTGTGATGAGTCCCTCTAAAGAAAATAAAATGTTACTAACATATTATTTTTGCCAGTTTGGCTTATCTTGCTCTGGATTTATTATTATTAAAATGCACAGCTTCACAGAATAGCTACTCCTAAGGTAAAATCTTCTTGCACCAAGCAGCTCCCCCAGTTCAATGCAGCCGCTGTTTCTCTCCCGTTTTGTACCTACACCGAAGGCTGAACTGTTCTCAGACCACAGCAATGTCCTTTCAGTTTGTCCTTTCCAAAGAAACACCCCTGAAAGCCCCTTTCACCGTTATGAACATGGTCTGCAGGAGAGTCCTTATGGCAGGATCAGGCCCCCTCCTTTTGCAACGGCCCTTTGCGCCAATACAAGCATGCAGCTGAAGCTTAAAGGATTATGTGTATGTATGTGCAAGGGAAGTCACATGTATACACAGAGCCCGGTGCCACTACCCCGGGCAGTGCAGCAGCGTCAGCGGTCTTTTCCTAAGCTCCCTCGCTGTTTACTCCTACAAGAGACACGAGATACTGGAGTTTCTGCTGAGCTCACTTTGAAAAGGGGCTCACTTGATGGGCAAAATGTTTCTGCCAGCCACCAAGGAACAAGAAGGCACTGCCTCCCAGGTGAGATTTTAAGAAGTTCACCTTTTGGATTGTTTTCTGTTTTTAAGAGCTGAAACCCAATTTGCATTAATGCATATAAACCTTGGATCAGTGAAAATGAATAGCGCCATTGTTAGAAATCGATGTTCAGGTTTTAGATAACAGTTCTTTAGGGCCAATGTCATTGTTTAAGTTTGTCATGCTCCTACTTTTATCTAGTTGCCTGAAAGAAAGCTGCATTAGGCTTTTTCTTATTTCTATCAATTTTCACGTTCTTGCACATTAGCTGGATTTCTCATTTACAGCTTCTTTATGTACTGAGCATGTGCTTTTAAGTTTGTTATTAATTGCTCTGAATATGAGATTTCAATCTTTCTGTATATTAAATCTAGCAGTAAAACAGTATAGCACAAGTAGAGCAAGGGAATTGATCAAAAGTTAATCTAATTAGTCTTTAGTAAAGCAAAAAAGGTCTCAAAGTGAGATACTTATGAATCTTCTATTCATAGCGTAATAAAACACACAGCAAACCATACTGTGAAATATTACTGCAGAGCTGCTAAGAGACACAGCAGCAAGTAATTAACTAATTAATCACAATTAAGCTTCATTTTCGTTTCTATTCTAAAAGAAGGTAAGCCAAAGGCAAACTTCGAAGCAGCAAAAAATTTCCTAGCTGCTTTCAGGAGAAGCTTTGAATAAGCAGAATGACTGCTGTCCTTTTTTGCCTCCATAAGCATTTTTAACTATGCTAATCACAATGATATTTGCAAATCTGTTTTCTACTGTTCTTAGCAGAAGACCTACTTTCCTTTAGGGCTTTGTCAGCTGAACTTTATGTCCTTCTTATAGAAAAGCTAAAGCAGCACAAAAAGGCAGCAACCGTTTTCTCATGCCAGAATCACGTCCTTCACGTATTTGACTGGCCCCATCAATGTCCCATGGATTCCAACAGAACTTGGACTAATTCTGAAAGGATGAAAGAAAGTTAATCAAATGTCTGCACAAAGTGGTTTATGTGAATGTCTATGGTTGTGATCTGCACATCGGAATGATCCATGTCAACCTCTGCATTCAGGGTCTGAGCATCAGATAAGAGGTTATCAGAATATTCTGCATATTTTCCACAACAGCTAAAACATGTAGGGCTTATTTAAGTGAAGAGAGGTGAGCAGGCTCCAGTGAGCTCTCTACAAACCGCGGTTTACTGTTCATGCACACCCTGTGCCTGTGTGGGCTATGTAAAAACAACCATTTATCAATCATTACTAAGAAACTGGATCTGTGACAAACTAATTACTCCTCAAACCTACACCCATTAGCACAGGAGGAAGCAGATTATAAATTTAATTTTCTGGTGAATTGACCCAGGCTGGATACCAGGTGCTCACCAAAGCTGCTCTACCACTGCCCTCCTCAACTGGACAGGGGAGAGAAAATACAATAGAAGAGTCATGGGCCAAAAGAAACACAGGGGGAGATCTCTCACCAGTTACAGTCATGGGCAAAACAGATTCAACTTGGGGAAACTAGCTTAATTTATTGCTAGTAGATAAGAGATAGATAGTAGATACTGCTAGTAGGTGAGTAGGATAAGGAATAAAACTAAATCTCAGAATACCTTCCCCTCACTCTTCCCTTCTTCCCAAGCCCAACTTCACTCCTAATTTCTCCGCCTCCTCCCCTCCCAGTGGTCAGAGGGACAGGAATGGGGGTTGTGGTCAGTTCATCACATGTTTTTTCTGCTGCTCCTTCCTCTTCAGGCAAGGACTCCTCACACTCTTTCCCTCCCATTAGAGACAGTTCTCCACAAATGTCTCCAACATGATGTTCCTCTCACATGCTCTCAACTCCTCTCTCCAGCCGCAGTTGCCATTGTGCAGCAACTTTTTCCCCTTCTTAAATGCGTTACCCCAGAGGCGCTACCAACTTCAGCTGATGGGCTCAGCCCTGTCAGTGTTTCTTAGAGCTGGCTGGCATTGCCTCTGTTGGACACGGGGGAAGCTTCTGGCAGCTTCTCACAGAAGCCACCCCTGTAGCCCCTGCTACCAAAACCTTGCCATGCAAACCCAATGCAATTTTATATATCAAGGTTCTGCACAGCTCCTGAAGTAACAAAATCTGCTACAGAAGTAGTATACTCAAGGTGTAACTTCACAGGTAATGACAGACCTTAGGTTTAACGAGTCCTGGTTTAGGTTTAGAGAGCCCTGGTTTACAGAGGTCCCTTTGAACATTTCTTCCCCTGAAATTACTTCTGGAGGTTTTTTTTTCCCTTGAAAAGCATTTGCCCAGACTCATATTGGGCTGGAAGAACAACACCAGTTAAGGATATTTAGGGAAGCATCCCCACTCATACACCTGTGAAAGTAAGGCCAAGGACTAAAGGGAAATCATCAAATACTTAAACCTGTCAAAGCCTCTGCCAGCACCCTAGAATAGAAAGTGCTAAAGGTTATCGCTTTTTCAAGTTTCATGGAAGGGTCATTCCATACATACAGAGGCAACGGGGAGCCTTGTAAGAAATCAAGAAAATATTGATGAATAAGGGGTAAAAAAACCCTGTCACTAATAAGGGGGAGCAGGGATTGGCACATGACATGTAGTAGATGGACAAGTCAGAACCCATTCATGTCAGTAAGATGCTTCTTAACTAATTTCAAGCCCCTGGTAAACTAAAATCCCTACTTCAAATCTTGCAGTCTAATAATACCCATCCTTACATCAGGAATAGTATTATACTAGTTCACCTAGAATGCAAGATATTTTACTCAGATATTATAAATGGAATAAGACACAATCAGCAAATACGCGAGTTCATCCAAGAGGCAGCTAGAAAATATGCCCTTCACCAAGCAACAGAAATTAAAAGCCACAGGAGTGGCAAGAACAAGAGGTTTTAGACTTGCTGACAACTATCAGAAAGATTTCTGTTTATCTCCAATAGATGTGACACATTTTGAAGTCATTTCAGCAACTCTGCTGAGGGCCGATTTCCCCTTCGAACTCTAAACTCCAAGCAGTTTCATACTCATAAATGTTATCTGAGAAAGAACTATGTCAATATTTTTGCATTTACTGGAAACCTGGTCCCTGCAGCCTGAGTTTGTTTCGCAAGAGTTTCCTACACGGGCAACGTGATGTCTTGTTGATAAGTCACAGGGTCAGCTTTCACTGGTGTTTCTAATAGGAAATGGCATTATATTATAGTTTCCAGGAAAACTACCATCTGTGCCTCCTGTCAGTCTTTGCAACTGGCAGCAAAGTATCTGTGCGGAATGTTTTCGTGCTGCCAAATTTCAGCAGTGTTCCCTGTCAGAAGCCCTAAGCACGGCTGAAGCTAAAAAACAGCAGGTTAAGATAAGAGCTGCTGTTTCCACCCTGCCAACTCATTTACTGAGTAATTCTCAGCGTCGGTGTGCCTTTGACATTCAGTCCCTGGATAAATTCAGTCTGCACTATCTAGAACAGGGCTAATTTGCATTAATTTTGATTGGCAAGAATCCGTTTTCTTTACTAGAGTGATGCTGATTTGCAGGGACCAGAAGCAGAATCTTCAGTTCATAAAGTTCCCTTACCTGGAACCTCAGCAACTCCAAAATGCTAGAAATGCAGGGATCTAGCCACTTGTTATCTCGTAAGAGACCTAAACAAGAGAAATTTGCTAAACAAAAAAAATTTACCATAAAACTATCCTGCAATTTTATATTTTCTCAAACATTAAAAAAGCTTTAGCAGAAAATTCTGATTTAATTTCTATGATCTGATGAACTTTACATAAAAGAAAGGAACACGATCAGTTTCATAAACACTTTTTCCCCAAAACCAGCCTTAACTGACTTGCTGTTCCACAGTTTAAGTGTCTACTGGCAAAGGGGGTAAACCTTACAGTTAAATATTGATGATTACCATATAAGAAAGATCCTTTAATGAAATCACCCACCTTGTGTAATGAAGTCATGAAAAACGAACTGAATACCTTCATTAAAAACAGTGTAAATCCACTAAGTCCCAGCTACTCTGTCATCACCACCATGACAGCAAGAATGCTTTCCGAAGGTGCACGTAATCTTTGATAGATCCACTGAGCTGAAGTATTTCATATGGCAAGAAGCCTCCACTTAACTTCAGTTTTATATTGAATGAAAGTATTTGCTACAGCTAATGGGCCTGTGTGCTCTCCAAGAAAACAACACTGTAGGATTTAATTATGTCCTTTGGTTTCTGTTGCTCACCAGTTATAAGCACAGTGGAAATTCTGCCACAGGTTAAATTTTTGCAGCAACTCCCAATCATCTTGCTACTGAATTTTATTCAGGTTTGTTGCCGCTTAGTTTTAAGTAGGACAGTTGCATGAAAATCAGCCTCCAAGTGCTCTGAAAACATGGACCAGGAACTACAGTGGTGCTAACTGGCTGCTTGTATTCCACCACTGAAAGGCACCATCTACTCTGCCGATGCTTAAAAGCTGCCGCTTCTTGTACTCCAAGCAGTCACCTTTATAAAATCTGGAACTCAAAGCATCTAATGATGCCTATTTTCTAATATTACATTCATTCTAATTATTCCTGTTATTTAACACACCATAAGTAACTGGGAGCCAGTATGAATACCAGGAAAACTACAGGGGATTTGGTTTTCATATGACTCAGTTTTTAAGGAAAACATTACCTAGTGATAGCTGGGCATCTCAGAAATGTATCTCATTTCCAAAACCAAGGTAGCTAAGGCTTGTAAATGAATACAGGTAACTGCTGCATAAATTCATGCTGCCTGAAGGAATACCTTATGTTTAGAACTGCACAAAATTAAGGCATTTCACTTTTTGCAGTAATGAAATCTTAACCCACAATACATCTGTGATGTATGAAAAGCCGCACTGTTCACTCTATGGTGAATTCCTTCTCGCAGCACATAAGTGTTATAAAAGAAAAGGTTTGTCAGGTTTTCCATATAGAAGCTCATTTGGAATTCAGTGATAAAGCTAAGTCAGGAAGAGGTGGAGCAGGAGATCAGTCACACTCATCTGATACCAGGATACTGCGAGACATTGGCAAAACATGATGGGGTTTATGGAGTTAACCCATGCAGAGCCCCAGTGCACAAAGTGCACTGAGCAGCTGCAAGGAGGGCACAGCCACCGACAGCCTAGCCCCTGCACAGGCTCCATTACAAAGGAATAAACAGCAGAGAACAGGAGGATTTATCTGGAGTGGCAGATGTGCCTGGCAGATAGCATCTGCGTCTGAACACGGGGCTCCTCCCATGCAACTCTTCAGTGGCCTTAATGCAGGACTATCTCCTCTCCACAGAACCTAAAAGTCTCCCCATTCTGCAGGAATTTCATTTGTGCCTTCTACCCCGTAGCACTTTGTTATTACAACCTTAAACACCACTACCACAATGCCATTCTCCAACAGATGTAACAGGCTCTTAAAAACACCCCTGGGCAGTTTTTATTATGGTTTCCAGAGTAGTTGATCTTTTTTGTCTTTCTTTATTGGTGGGTATTATCTGTTCTCATAAGCTTTAAGCTGCTTAAAAATTGAGGGGGAGTGAAGAAAGAGAAAAGAAAGCAAATACAGTTATCCATTGCTGATGGCTACATGTTGTTGTGAGCAATTGTCTATGAACTCTGAAGACATAAATTGTTCAGTTCTAACCTAATATATAGAAGATGTGCATCTTGGGAAACAGTGGCCGTACCCTAAAATCAAGTTTTCCTCTTTCTTCCAAACCAAAGGCATATCTGAACTCACTTGTTGATGCTTACCACCCAATAATTTGCAGAGACTTGCTTCTGACCATGGCCTTATAACAGATTCCCAAAGAGATAAACAATGTAAATAGATACAAAATGTGTAACTGACATTGTTAATAGTTTTATATTATATGGCATTATATAATAATAATAATAATAATAATAATAATAATAATAATAATAATAATAATGTAAACAAAAGGTTAACACAGAAGAAAGAAGGCCAGGGGCAGTAAGCAGTTTATCATGGCACAAGTGGGATCTGGATGACCAGGTAGCCGCTATGCAAGTGATTTACTACAAAGACGGCGCTTACAGAATGAAAGGAACAAACAAGTGACAGTGGCTGCCAACATCTGTGGAACAATAAAAAGGTCACCTGGCAAGTGAGAGAGAGGGCCACAGGCAGGAGACATATATGAAATACATGAAAGACATAGTCAGAATTTCTGGGAAAGCAGAGCGAGCATCCTCAAAGGATGACCAAAGCAAAATGCAATGACCAGAGAAGCATGAGTATCTCTGTACTCATTCAACATGGGACAGAAATAACCCTTATGGTTCTTGGGAATTTGATTTTTATTGTTGACTTGACACCCCTAAGAACAGCCTGAGATTTCCCATGGGAAAGGCAACAAAGAATTAAGAGGTGAAACAGTATCATACTTAGAAACCCTGTGATAAGTCTGCTATGATACCGTATATGTGTCATATGAGCAAATGATGGGAGGTGCAGCATTAACTGTAACCAA